ATGAAAAGAATTGGAATCGAATAGTTAGTTAAAAAGCTCACTGATGTCGAACTGCTGCGTGTGGGAGTTATCCGGCATCTGCAGGCCATTCCATGATGAATTCAAGTCAAGCTGATCGACAGGGAAGTCCGGTCGGAAACTAAAATCGTGTCATCCTCATCAGTCGATTAGATTGAAATCCTTGCATGGAAAATCATATCGCGAAGAGTAGTGGTCAAATTTGCTCCACTTGCGTGATATTAGCTGCACCCCTTCGGGGGCTTGAACTAGTTCATACTCATCTGAAAGGATAAAGACGCTGAATTTACATCTACTGGTTACCGCAAGTCACTGCGTTGGACACGTTGCATTGAGAGCGCCGTATAATTCCCACTGAAAAAAGGGTGCGCAGCGCATCTCACACGAGAATTGATCAACGTTGAGTGCTTTATTTTTCATTCGGAAGGCGAAGGTCGGGTCCTATAAGGAATGAAATCCCATCCGCGCTACCTCAACGGAATGAAATCCCAAACGCGCTACCTCAACGGAATGAAATCCCATCCGCGCTACCGCACCAGTGCTGTTCAGAGAAAACACCTTCATTGGAACGAAAGTTCTTAAAGGCAGTTGGCACGATGATTTGGTGCCTCAAATGCTAGTAAGGCGCTATATAGTGGGAAAATGGCACAAAAAGAAATGGAACGGTCAAAAACCTGCTAAGAAAGAGCCTCCGTTTCTATCATTGACCATAAATTTGGAGTAGTTTCCTTTAGGCATCTTGCCAATAACCGCTACCGAAGGTATGGCTGTATACATATGTGTACTCATATATCCATGCAGCATCACGGCCGCTTCATACCAATCCCTTAGCTTCATAATTTGCTTGGCAAATGAATCGACTAGAGCGTCAGGAACAGTCGTCCATTTGTGGGCGGGCGGGCGTTTGGGTCGATATGTTTGCGGCTTGATAGGGAACACCCCTATGAAGGGCAGCCGACCCTTCGAGAAGGCATTTATGCACGCCTGCTCCAAAGGGTCCGCGGAATTCCGTCCCTGCCAGTGTATTAATTCTATCTCGTCCCTTGGGGGAGTTTGTCCTGCCCAACTCGCCATTTAATCTCAGGATCAGGGCTCGCTCACCATCCCTTTCGGCAAACCGCACAGGGTATCTAGCCGTTTGAAGCGGAGCTATTCAGCAGGGATCTTTTTTGATTTTCCCCTTTTTCGGCGCCACGTGCGCAGTATTAGGCAGCGTTCAGACTTCGCGACAGCAGAGTCTCGGTCGCGCGTTCGGCGCTGCCGTCGCGAAGTCTGAACGCTGCCTTAGCTCGCCTCACTGGCGGCGTGATGATACTCTGCTTCTGATAGTAGTAAGCCCCACTCGCCAGAGAAATTGGAACACTTTGGTGAGATAGCAAGTGGGATGTGAGAGGGAGGAAAATACAAGGAATCGTACTGATGAGAAATTTTCCTTGAAAACCATTAAATCTGATGTGAAAACGCGTCACTCAAATGAGAAAGAGATTACAGATTTTCGTTGAAAAACATGAACGTAGGAGCAGATAAGAAGACAGGGCACCGCTCATCTGGCGCTTATCGCAAGATAATCGCTCTTTGAATACTCGATAGGCATTTCGCAAATTGAATCACATCATTTCCACTTCCAATCATAGGAAAATATAATTTTGTCAAAAAAGTACGAACTGAACTCCACATGGTTCGTTCATTCTAAGAAGAAGACGTATAAAAAGGCGGTGATGGAGACGCAATGACAGTTAGGGCTCGTATTGCAGTTGGGGGAAATCTTCTCGAAACTGAGCTCACCCTCGAAAGTTCTCCGCTGATACGACCCTCTCCCCATCCGCATACTAGCTACCACCCCCTAAATCCTCTTTCTACCACTTTTCCGAGGTTTTTTCCTAAAAACTGTTGTCGCGTGGGGAAAGGGTATACAGCGCCTTTCGGAAGCCAACAACCGAAAACGATTTCCAGAAGACCGAATGAATACGACCTCCCCCCTCTCCAGCGATGGAATACGACCTCCTCCTCGAGGAGGTACTGGTTTATCGGCAGCCTGTTAGATACCTCTACACAAGTCACTCTCTTCTCCCACGCGTTCAGTTGATTAGCTGTAGCGATGGGCTGCTGTGCTCGCCCTGCCACGAAACGACTCTGAACGGGACCCCAGAACTGTACGCGAGGTTAGCGGCACAGCTTCCCACTACATCACCTTCACATGCCATTTGACAGTGTGGAGGGGGAGGAAGAAAGGAGCCAGTACGATCCTGACGATGGCTGCGCATCGCGTATCGCGTGGATGCAGAGAGGGAACCCTTCTACCAGACCCATCAGGAACTGGGCTAACGGCAGCTGCAATACCTAGCTGGCAGTACTTCGGTTGTCCTTGCCTCTAGAACAGCCCTTTACAAACTTACCTCACTAATTCTTCTTAATTTTCATTACATTACTACTTCAATTCACCATGTGATAACCAGTTGAGTACGCATACATGAAGTAATTTTACGATGAACAGCTTTCCCCGATCCCTTCCAACAGGTTTTCACATTTTCGGCCTTCCCTCTCCCTCCTCGCGTGGAAGCAACTACCCTCTCTTGCTCGCTGAGGCATCAGTAATAATGTGCCCCCCCTCGCAGGCAAGCTGCAGGCTTTACCTGCAGTACGCTGCTTAGTCTTTAGCTGAGGGCAAGCTGGTGTAGTGGCATAGCAACGCCTTGCCACGCCACTGTTTCCGGAGTCAAGATCCCGCCTGGGTTTTTTTTTCCCGCCCAGGCCAACCAAGCCTTCTACCCTCCAGGGACGGTAAACGGTAGCGGATCCGTCTGGGAGGACAGGAACATTATCTTATACATCAGCTGGTCCCGAAATCCGTTGTATAACGCATATGCATTCAATAACCCCTACGATTCTGAATTAGTTATAGATGCATGGCGCCATACCGAAAAAGGGTTGACCAGCGGCGAGACTTCATCGCCCCTCTTCTATCACTTTGGGGGTAATAGATAAAGTATAACATATGGACTCTCGTTGCATTCACCAAAGGACTCCTGCAGTTTTGTAGGCATCCCATAGGCAGCGCTCTTCGGCGAAGTAGTCGAGATATTGTCCTCTCTAGCGCAACCATTTCAATGTTGCACTTTAGGCCGTTGGGCAGCACGTGACGATCGATCGACCAGCGTTAAAAATGCCCGGCTGGGGCTTTCGTCGTTTTCTTTCTGCCTCTCTTCTGCCTGTTTCAATAATGGAAAAGAGTGCAATACCCAAAAAACTCCTTGAGCGGCGAAAAACTCGAAGTGAACTTCGAACTCTCCAGTCTCCTTAGAAACTATAAGCTACGGTAGAAAGTAGAAAGGACTTGAACAGACATCATGTTACGATCTGGTGTACTACTAGAGCCTTACAACGTCAGGGGACCGCTACGCTTTAGTGGCTCTTGCCTCGGTTTCCATTTCAGGTGGTTGTACCACTTCAAGGACCGAAAATACGACCGATAACATGGTGCCGCAGTAGTTTGTGCATCAAAGGGGGCAGAAGTGGAGAAGCATTCGGAAAACAAAGCTTCAATATAGCGTCATGTAGTGAAAAAACAATTCATTCAACCACCAAAACTAATAAAGCGGGATCGAAGGCTTAAGGTGGTCTACCACGGAAGTGAGTACGACTCCCGCCCCCTCTCCGCCTTGCACCACATGTGAGTTCCACTACGGCGATGTGCACTGACTGGAAGGGAGAACAAAGCCAAGCAGTGATAATAGTGGTGATGACATAGAATGAAGAATTTTCTCTGCCTGGGTATATTTGGTAGCAAAGGACTACGATAAATTCTGACCTTAAAGAAATCCCCCTCAGATCGCATACTGATCCTGGCTTCGGGATATGCACGAGTACGGAAGGGAGATGACGAAGGAGGCCCTACCTACCTTTTCCTGCCCTACTCAGGTTGAACTTTATGTCTGGAAATTCGTCCTCCGGTGTTTAGCGACCGGCGCGTGCATCCGCTTAAAACATCACAAAATCGCCAGATTCGCGCTAGGAGGGGTCCGCAGTTCCCCTTGTCACATGAAGCATTACACGCCCTTTGTAGAAACATCAACGTCCCGTCCTGACACAAGGTAAGGTGCTTCACGCCACTCATGCGCCACGACCGCGGACCTGTTTCGATGCCAGGTCATGTAACGGGACCTAAACAGTTTCTCGCCAAGCTGCCGTTGGTATCCAGCTGTCATAGGGTCGGCTCTGCGGCGCGACCTGTCTGCCCAGCAACCACGGACCGCTCGCTTTTTCCCCCCGGTCACTCGCCACTTAGTAATCCACAACTTCCTGCTAAGGATTAAATATTAGGTAGGAGAGTCGAAGTCATCATCTCCACAGTAAAGTGGGCGCGATTGAGCGAGAAGCCGCCAACACTTGTGCCACCCTTTCTCCCACCTTCCCCATAATAAGAGTCACACTTCCAGGTAATTTAATCGATGTTCAAGGTTACTTTAGAGGCTGTTCGATGGCGCCATGCGGTTCCATGACAGACGGATGTGATATCGTGTTAAGGGGGTCAAATGAGCTCTCGGACAAATCTTGAACCAAATCTACCTTTTGAGAACAAAGTCGGTAAAAAGGCCCGCTTCTTGAGGAATGGGACAGTGAAGAGCGAATAAAGTCGAGGATGCTTTCTGCCATATACGTGCGTCACGAGGAAGTGTCCTCTCCGTCGCCCCTAACCCGCGTCCTCATCCCCTCAGTCGAAGCATGTATATTTGCGAATCAGGTAACAAGAGGACCGCGTGCTAAAAAAAGGGCTGCAGTATGACGAGGGTACATATAAAATCCTGACTGACAGCTCCTCCTTCCCCTCCCACCCCTTCATCCCACTTTCACACGCTCGTCGTGAGCAGGATTCTCTAGCCACAGCTCCACTTGCTCGCCTTTCATTCATGCAACTCTTGACCCTATCTGTCTGTGAAAGAAGCCAGTCTGGAGAAAAGCTGTAAACCGTGCCATCTGTCTTCTCACATTTTACACCTCATAGGGTGAGAAGCTGGCACTGGAACGTGGCCGTCGGCCGGATTCCTGAGAAATTCCTTGACCCTCTTTGGAGGCTGGAATAAACGACAAATAGATGACTTACCCTCCTAATGGGTTCGCTCGCGTCCGATCAGCATGTTTTGTCATGTGCTTTTGCAAGTAGGTGGCCTGGGTGTAGGATTTTCCACAGAACGGACAGATGTGCACCTGAATGCGAGTATTGAGCACGAATGTTCAAAACAGTGGGCTCTCAGGATCACACGGGAAATCCACAAACCTTCAAGTGTTTTGACTCCTTATGTTTTGGGATGTGTTCCAGTAAGCTCTGCTCGTCTGAGAAACACTTATAGCAGCTGAAAATGCAAGATCTTTCTTATTATCTGTTCTTTGGTTTAGCACACCCCTTCCCTGTTGTGCGATTTCGCATCGCCACTTTACACAGTGGAAAGATTCGGCAAACACCATTGAACAGTTCGCTGCTAAGGTGGAATGGAGCGCGTTTTCTGTTCTGGCACTCGCCAACTGGACCCTACTTCTTGAACAAAGGGCTCACACATCTCTACGAAATTGACTTGATAGCTCCTGTAGGGCACTTCGAGCACAGAATTGTGATAGAGGGGGGAAAACGATGAGTAGCAGACCGGATTAAACGGCACGCCTAAGCCTCGCTGTACATCATTAAAACACCCAAACAACCATAAACTCGAGTTCGTGCGCACTGTAATTCACTGAAAGCGGACTACGAGCGGCTTTTTTGTAGGGGAAAATGAATCACGATGGGCAATCGTTCTCTCACTCAATTCTTGTCCTAAACTTCCAGGAAAGTTTCACCGCTAAATCAACTTGACTTGCCCTCCAGCAGCTGAGATTGCCTGATTCCACAATCACATCCTCAAATCCTGGCAGACAATTTTAAGCTACTTGAGTATTGAGGGCTGTTGGTTCCTGCGCAGTCATAAACTCCCCATCTGAATTGTTTCTGTCTCCTCTTTACATTTTCTAGTTGGAACACAGGGCTAGAATAAGGCGCTCAATTGTGTCAGTTATCGAAGCTCATGAGTTTTTTTGCAGTCAGCTTGTATACAAGTATTTCAGTTGCACTCAAAATTTTCTATGAAGTAAAATGCACCCACTATACGCTTAGGGTTCCTTAATGGGTGGTGGGTAAGTGGTCATAATGAAGAAGAAGATACTGCGAAACAGGGGGACTCTATTAATCGGCAGTTGGCCACGATTAATCCTAAAAAAGCCAGCAACATTAATATGCTGGCCCAGGAATGGAAAACGCGCCCTCTGAGAAGCATGCTGCGCAGACGCCTTTCCCATAGGAAGCGTACCCCATAAGGGCCCTATCATGCTACAAACATATCTCTACTACAAGAACGCCCACAACGCCCGCCCCGTTCACGCATTCTTTCCCTGACGCCTTGTACTGATTCATTTGCTAGGCAAATTATGAAGCGAAGGGATTGGTATGAAGCGGCCGCGGTGCTGCATGCATATATGAGTACATAATGCAGCCGTATCTTCCGGTAGCGGTTATTGGCAAGATGCCTACGGGAAACTCGTCCGAAATTGCTTTTTGAGTCATTAGGAACGAAGGCTTTTCTTCGCAGGTTTTTGACCGTTTACTATATAGCGCCCTGCTAGCATTTTAGGCCGAGAACCAAATTATCGTGCCGACTGCCTTAAAGGGAGAATTTTCTCACTAAGATTTGCCTAAAAGTAATACATAGAGCTCAAGCCACACAAGAACTGAAACGGTCAAAGATAGCCACTTTTCATGCTGGAGGCAGGATCTAGTCGTAGAATGTGATTGTGAAAAGGAGCATAGACGGGACGGTTGGTGGTCATAACAAGCCGAAATATACAAAAAGAGCTGTTCTGAACGAGCTTCTAGAAGAAAAGGCTGAATAATTGGAGTAGAGTCAATAATTACGCCCCAATGCGTGCCAATGCCAATGAAAATTAGGCACATTTCGGCCTGAAGGGGGGCATTAAATAGTACTCAGCGAGGTTTGTTTAAGCCATTTCGTGACTTGTATATTCCTGTAACTAAAGTGGCTCACTCGTACCATTTCGGAGCTTTCGAAGAGTTGACGGGTGTTAACCTAGGAGCAAACATGTACTAGCAAGAGAAACTAGCAAAAGTACAAAAGTACAAAAAGTACCCCCTCCACGCCGAACAGCGTCGAAACTTGTCATAGATATAGGAATCTCATGAGCAAGGAGTGAGTTAACCAGCAGCCCTTTCGAGCCGATACGCTAATTCCGCCCAACGGAACAAAGTACCCACCTTCAAAAAATGACCACTTGGTGATCATTAGGTCTTCTAAAAAAGATAACAAGTGGCCAGTTGTAGAAAGTACACGGTTCAAGCAAGAATGCCGTAGAGTTACAATAAATTATTGGTCCTTAGTGGGCCAAAATGGCCTTGGCGGTAGGAGACTGAACCACAGAATGGCGTTTGGTGAACAGACGACCTCGGGGGCAAACCTGCTATCAGCAGATTCTTTCTTTCATGCGCATAAAGTACGATAGCCGCTCACAGACTCTGGATCCTTGCACTCGAGTCAACTCAGGTGATATAGCCCTTCTTCTCTTCAAGAATGTTTTAATTATTTGAACAAGGCCAGAGGTGCACCCACAAAGCCACGGTGTATGGGATTCAGGAGGGCAGTAAATACCCAAAAGTGACATTCTAATGTAGCGATCATTTCTCAAAATGAGAAAAAGGACGTTGGAAGTGTGGGCAGACACATTTAAAGCTTGATTTCGCTAGATGTTAGAGAACCATATTGCGCAAAGGCTGTTGAGGGTGAGGCGGCGCCTCGGAGCCACATATCCCAGCATTTCTCATACTGCCTCGTTTATAGATTCGTTTTTGTTTCGGAGCTTGCTTGCAGTCGATTTGCGACATGAAATTGACGAGGAACCACTCTGAAACTGTTTTGCAGACCATCTACATAAAGGGAAACGCAAAATAGCAGAGAGGACGTGGCATAGTAGCCCCGGCATGTTGATTGTCCCCCTCATCTAACCAGAGTACAGCACCGGGATGGTAGTAATGGTGGTGTCAGTGGTGGTGCATTCCCCTTTTCCCATCATACCTAACATCTTCCTCAGTTTCCCCAACTTCCTAACACTTTTTCCGGTTTCTCAAAAAATTAACCTGTCTTCTCTAGAAAACAGCGGTCGGGAAGGAAGGGTCAGCTTAGGTATATAAACACATAGGGGGAAAAATCGTACAAATATGACCCCAGCCTTCAATGGCCGAGCGCGACCTCCTTGGTGGGGTTCTCCCATGGTTACTGTACCATGCAAGTACGTTTGTCTCACCTTGCGCTTACAATCTACTTCTAATTTCTGCACGTGGAGGGATAGAGGCGGCTACACCATCGAGCCTCCTCCACGGAACACTGTCGGGAGACTCCGTGGGAGACGTCAAGAGCAAATGGGCTACGCTATGTTGCTTGCAAAAATGCAGTATCGCCAGATATACATCTCGCCGCGTTGCCAATGAACAAATGGTGTCATTACTGTAGCGAAAGCGAGCAGAAAGGTCATGAATAAAAGTACAGGGATGTGGCACTATAGTAGTAGACCGTCAGCGCATCTTACTGTAAGCGCAGTTGTCTACATAAACAGTCGTGATCGTGCGAATGGAGGGCCTGTGTCAGGCGGGATGGGCTTAACGCGACTCCAAGTCCGTTTTCCATTCCACCAATTGTTGCCGCTTATCCGCCTCAGCAACTGGTGAAGAAAGAATATGGCGTCGTGCCAAATCCATCCTGCCTGACATCTGCAGCGGACAAGACTGTACATTTGCTTTCAAATTATAGTTATGTAGGACACTTGGAAGCGCCATGTAAATTTATATATCACTGACGTTAGAGGGGTGTACACATAGTTACAGGTGCGACGGCGGCAAACAACAGGGGTCATACTTGGCCGCTGCAAGGAGGTGGGTGTGGAGCGTTACTTCGTTGTTGCAGCATCGCAGTAGGAGTTGACTTGCGAGGTAGTGTGCTAGAGCAGCGTCGCTGTCCTGTTGAGTGGGTTGGGCCCTGATGCGGACGCTGCTCGCAAAACCTCGCTTGCATTCGCCGTGACTGAGGAGTAGCACTCCACATGTGGTTGGATTGGCCCAGCAAAACTCTTTTAATAGTTCGGTTTTTCCCCGTTTTAGCGCGTTATCTTCCAGTTGCTAATGCCGCAGTTTAACTGGTCTCGATAGCTTGCCGAGTACCTTTTCCATGCCAGCTCCCCCTATCCTCCGCTCCCCCGCGGTTCTCCCCTCTCCCGAGGACCTTTACCATGTGGTCAAATAGAGAAAATTATCTACACCCTTATATGCCTTTTGAATCGACGACTATGTACAGAAAAAAGGGCACATCATCGTTGGGATTCCCCAGAGATGGGGTCGTATTTGGTCGCTGGGGGAGGGGGAGCCGTATTTGCTGGGTGTTGAGAGAGAGGCGGTGGTCTGCCTGTCCTGACAGACATTCACTCGCCACCGCATCCAAAGCTACACTCCATATCATGAAGACAGAAAGGGTGTGGCTACTTACGGAACGGCTTCGCTTTGGTCGAATATTGCTGTTTCAGATCCAACGCCATGTTTAAATGAAGTACGCAGTCACGCCCTCTCTGGGTATTAATACATAGCGGAGACGTTGCCTTGCCGTGAACCTTTCAGGGAGTTCCCATGCGTAACAGTTACGAGCCTCTTAATTTAAATTTAATAGAATTTAAATGGAAGGTGTTTAATTAATCATGAGCGTCGTTGATGAAGGCTCAGTAGGAGTGTTCATTGGAAACGCGACCGTGAAATAAAAACTTCCGTGCGTTAATCCACCCGTCAATGGCGCGTAATTGATGGGGTAGCGCGCAGCATCACGTGGCATCGATGCTATGTTGCCACTCAAAGCGGTACGCTTAGGTGCGAGATGGATCCGTGATGTGCGGGAGGTGAGCAGGTCCGCGCAGCTATGAAGGTGTGCAGCATTTGTTGTTTGAAAGGGCGCCGAAATGAGGCTGAAGCATAGTGAAAGGTGGAGGGCGCCTGGGTCTCCACACAACGTGCTGCATGTGCGTTATTGCCGGGCAGGGTAGTATCGTTGTGTGAAACACATAGGGGAGGTCGTACTTGTTGTTCGCTGGTGAGGGGGGTCGTATTTGGTCGTTAGGAGGGGGGGATGTCGTATTGCGTCGTTAGGAGAGAGTGGCAGGGGAGAGCATTCGCCAGCTCATCCCCCCCCCCCCCCACACCTTCGACGGAAAAATCTTTGGATGAAACACTGGACTGGAAAAGGGCTGGAAAAGGTAGGTAGGCGCTGGGGAAGGGGGCGTCGTACAGAGACCCTCACCTAGGTGGGGGAAGGGTCGCACTGAAATCCTCTCCCGGAGGTGGGGGGGGGGTCGTACGTACACTACCATTTCACACATCACGATGGTTGTACCCTGTTGCCGGGGTCCCGTAGCAAAAAGCATGAAAAGCAAGCTGTCTTTTATAGCCAGGTGTGAAGAACAACAGCAAGCTGAGTCGGTTAGGTATATAGCCGGTAGTGTGGCGTGTCGCGTGCTCCGCCTACAGGTGGAGACCCAATTGACCCTGTTCATCAGTACCCTCCAATCTTTCTGCGTACTTCCATGTGGGGTCACACTGACACCCTCTCTCGGAGGAGGCATATCTCTACCACTGCGGACCCGTTCATCTCGCACATGGCAGGGACCAGGACCTTACTGGTATAACAACCCTCCTGTTGGAAAGAAAAATAGATGAAGTGAGACGTACCTATTGCACTTGAAGGGCTTGTCGGTTTGATGGCATCGTGAATGCGATTGTAGATTGCTGAGTTGCGAGAAAGCTTTTTCACAACCAGTATACTTGCATTTGTACGGTTTTTCTCCGGTATGCGTACGAATATGCTGTTGCAGGTGCGAGAGTTGCGTGAACTGAAAACGGAGTATGATCATCGTGATGAAATGAAAATTGTGTGAAGTTTTCATGGTACAACTGTACTATGAATCCTTATGATCCTTGCCTATACGCTGGGGAAAAGGAGTGGTTACGAACTTGATGGTAAGTGATATTTGGCGGAGGTGAACAGCGGCTGATTCAAGCGTACAGGGGTGAGCACTACAACGACCGCTTCTCGTGACCTGCTGCGCTCTGTCTATTTCCTGTGCCTGAACCCTCGAATGCCTAACGATTTGGACCGCGCTGCTCAACTCTGAGCACCTTCTAACTCGTGGGTACGTGACAAACAGTTGTAAATTCCACCTAATGGCGTCACGTTTCCCAGGTCTAGAATGCGAACAACAAGGTAGAACAGAAAAATAGTCAACTAAATGTCTACAAAATATAAGAGTAAATATTTGTGGCGACTTAAAAACACGGCTCCAATAGGCAGGCAACACAAGGCTAAGAAAATGTCTTGTGCCCATCGACCGCCGCGGCTGGAGCTGCAAATTACGAAGTCTGGCCCAAGTCTCACCCGTATACACCCTGCTGTAATCTTCCAATGTGGGCAGCCATTCAGACTTAGCGAAATCGAACTGCGTCCTGTGAACTCAGCCATTACTTAATTGATTAGTGAAAGGGCAAAGTATGGTCCTGCCTTTTTGGGGCCAAAGGCTGCTGCCGTGCTTATTTGTGCTCTGTTCTACTTTGCTAATTCATTTCCTTTCCACTGCTGTTATAGAACTGTAATGCTGTGTTTCACTTACTGAAAATTTTCACCACTTTTTTGTTCCACAAGTACAGCAACTCGTGGATTTGAGCGGTTGTTCGTAATGGCAGGTCAAACGAGGAATAGAACAAAATTTGAACGCGATTAAAAGCAATACTAAAACCCGATCTACGCACAGGAGTGGGAACCTCACAGTCATTCGATCTGCTCTCTAAAGGTAGGAGGTCATTGTCGAACAGAAGAAAAACAGTCGAGGTAGGTGCGCGACGGTGCGACTGAGCCACGTCATATCTGCTTTCACCGAAGGGGAAGTTTCATCTAATCTGGGACTTCGAAGATATGCAGTTAGGCCCGAAAAAGTAGTCAAGTAAGTGTGGCATAGGGACACGGTCGCGTGCCACCCTCCTCAACTTCCTTCTATCAAAATAGTAGCACACACTCCTGACGTAGACTTGAAGGTGCATTTCACTACTACAGGTTGTTGGCAAACTGATTCAAATATGGATCTGTAGTTTCTGTCTGGACTGCTAGTAACGAAAGAAGCGAAAGAAACCGTGGAAGAATTCCCAAAAAAGTGTCTCCCATTCCCTGTTGGTCTGAACAAGGCGCACACCACGAAGAAACAGTGCATCCGGCAGAGAGACCAGACGGCAAGGGGCAAAAAGGCGCACAGGTGGAAGAGAATCCTATTGTTCGTGTGGCACTCTGATGGGCATTTTTCTAGATACTTACAAGGAACAAGGGAGGACACTACATCGTAAGCGTACGGCCAGCTGCCGCCACTCACCTTCAACTCACAGTGCTCCCATTTACCTTCACCTTGGTAAACTGGCACAGCCGTTGCCGTTGCGTTCCCAGTCACTTCAAAACGAGGAAATCTTTGCGTTCATGCTTAGCTAACCCTGGAGATGGACGTTCATCAGAGAAAACTTCGCGAGTTCTAGGTCTTCTAGACTCGTGAAGCCTCCAATGAACCTTTCATAACATGATTTTCCTGATCGAAACTTAAAAAAACCAGTAATACAATGACTATGCACAGTCGTGAGAGGAGACAAGTGCAGGTCCGAGCTCTCCCCCCTCTAATATCAAACATTTTGCCAAAAGCTAAGTATTATCGCAATGGAATGTACATAGGGAACTGTGGCTAAAAATGCAATCAGTGAAACAATGACAATGCAGGGAATCAAAATGTGCTCAAATATTTGACTTACTGTCCAACAATGAAGCGCTAGATGATTACGGTACTACTGGCTCGAATCTATTTTGTTTTCCAAAAGAGTCACTACAACAAAGAAAGCATACAAAACCAGCTCTTCAGAACAGAGGTAATACAGTCGTCATCCTTGCACTTGATAGTCAATGTCAGTGCGGCTGCGTGCGGCGCGGTCGCCCGCACCCGTACTGCACCAATCGTTGAACCAGGAAGTGACATTACTG